TGCACTGGATGGAGCTCTTTTCTTGCACGTCCCAGACGCTATAATGCATGGGCAAAAAAGTGCTGGGGCACAGAAACAGGAGACTCCCGGAGGTGACAGCACCCACAGAAAAGTGGAAGCAGAAGGGGACAGTTGCTGGAGGTGTCTGAGTGGGTTACAAGAAGGCAGCAGCAGAAAAATGGAGACTTCAAAGCACCACTAGGGGGAGCAGTAGCCCATACCGAAGATGGATCTGGGACTTGTTTCTGGAAACAGTAACAGGCTAATTTTGAATTTTGGGACTACAGTCCCCACCCTGTCCCTTTCTAGCCAAGCATTTGTTGTCAGAGTGACTTGCAGTTCACTGTCCTGGTTGGTGATGTCTCCAGAACTTCTCGATAGACCAGCATCCACGGTGTCCAGTGACCTGCTTATCCTAATGGTCTATTATTAAAACACTTCTCTGCACTTTATTTGGCAGAGAAATGTATTTTTTTTAAAACCAAACCAAACCGAGGAATATGCTGATGCCTGGGTCCTAAATGCCATGAGCGCTAGGAAGAACTAAGAGCCCATTTCAGATATTGCTGTCTGACATCTCCTGCACCACTGGCTCCCTTTCCTGAAGCCAACCGGAGGCCCTGAGCCATCCAGCCCCTAAGGGATGCATTTTGCTAAACCCACCCCCCGGTGGGACAGAAATGAAAGCTTTTGCTGGAAGCCTGTGTTGCCCCTGGATGGTCAACTGTCTTAACCAGATGGATCTTTCGGATGTCTCTCTGGACACCATCTCTCCATTAGGGTTAGCCACAAGAGGAAGGACGGAAGGAGAGAGAGAAATACAGAAACCGCTAATGTTCAGCTGTGTCTGGTGGGAGGAATGACACAATGCAGATATGCATAAGGCATCATTTCTTCCTAGATTATATCCTTGCCAGGTCATTTACTGAGTGGAGAAGTGACTTCATTGAAGCTCCTCTGAGTTACATCAGCTGAGGATGTGGCCCTATATTTATGTTCCAGGAATTCTGTATTCGTGTGTATTACACACATGGAGAAACACACACTGGCCACATATCTATACACCAACTAAAAGATGTTGTACCAAAGGAATTAGAGTTGGAAAATAGCTGCTATGTCCCACTCAGTTTATCACCCCTTTGCGAATGGAGGACTGTCCCCTGAAGGACATTTTGATGGCTTCAGTTCTAAACATCCCAAAGGGGCTTCCACTGTTTCCCATGTGCAAATACTCCACAGCCAAACACATCTCACTGTCATGGAGATTTCCCTGATGTTCACGCTGCCTTTCTCCTTCTTATCTCCATCCCATTGCTCCTAGTGATAACTTCCATGTACAGCCCTAAATAGCACTTCTCTGACACTTCTGAAAATCTGCCGCTTTCCAATATTTGCAGACTGTCATATCCTCTCCCTTCGTCGTTGCTTAGCCAAGCTAAACATAGTTAGGCCTTTTAATCTTCATAAATCAATGGCCCCTCATGATTTCTGCTGCTCTTCTCTGAAGTCTTTTGGGTTTGTCAATACCTTTCTGTTAACGTGGTGCTGTGGCACGGAGCCTGCCTGCACAAGGAAGTAATATCTGAGGTATGCCTGCGGTAGAGACTTTTGGAGCAGAGACCTATCTCCCTGCTCCTTTATGTGATTGCTCCGTACATACAGCCTCAAAGTGCACTGGCCTTTGTGTTGCCGTATCACACAAGCTCTGTGGTGAACTTCCCCGTCACACGATTCAAAGAGGACAGTGTTTACCCCAAGAAAATAGGATGTGACCCAAGGGGAAATGATACAAGTGCACATTACAGGGGTTCTATTGTGTATGGGACAGAACTGGTTCCACGTGAGATGTGTGATGTTAATGGAATATGTGCTTTATAATCAAAGACTCTTTCAAACTCTCTCGCTCTCTGTTTGAATTTAATGCCAGTGAAAATGAGGGAGAGAAACTAGTAACTAGAGGCAGGCCCAGTGTGGGCAGGTCCAATGTGGCAGATACATTTGCTCTGCCAGTCCACTTCAATCCTGATCTGCAGGAACACCTGGTATTACAGTCATGGGCCCTGACATGCTGCTACTGAAGTACCTCAGTTCCAACCTGCAGCACACCCTGGCCTTCCAGTATTGCATTCTCCTAACATAGTCCTGCTGGTGCTCCTCAGCCCGGACCTGTGCCGTATCCCGCTAATCCAGTCCTGTGGCTCTGTCAAAGCGCTAGGCCTCATGTCCTCCAGCTCTGCGGATGCAATTCAATCCCGAAATGCAGCAACACCTGCTGTTCCAGTCCAAAACCTCCTAGCACACATAGTCTGTATCTCCTTCCATTTCCACTGTGTATCTCAGAAACCCTGGGTCTGTCACTTCTCTCTCCTCTCTTCTACGTATGGCCTCTCTCCCCACCCCACCCCAAATCCCCCTGGCCCCATTTGAATTTTTAAGCTATTTAACATCCTCCAATATGTGCATAATGAGGTTTTTCGCCTGCCCTCTGCTGCCATCCCTCTGCTATTATGACACCAGGTGCTGAAGTGGTAACATGTTGTTTCAGAAGCCTTGCACTGGCTTCCATGTGTTAGAACTCTAATTACAGGGTAACTAGTGACCTTATAAGTACAGGGTAATCTACTATATAGCACCAGGGTAAATTATCTGGGTATTTTTGTCTTCTTCACTACAGCCTTATCCAGAGATTGAAACACGGCCAGTTAAATGGTAATTAATCTCTGAACCTCTTAGCACCTTCCCATTTCGGTGTTCAGTAACCTGCAAGAGTATGTTATCTCTGTGCAGTGTCAGGGGACTGGCCATGTTGATATCATTACAGAGCAAGAGTCAGCGCTTTTTAAATGCATAAAGTTGCTGTGTCAAGACTCTGCAATGCTGTCAGTGAAGCATGAGGTGGCTGCAGCACGACGCAAGACACTGTCTCCATGTCAGCGCCTTGGGAAACAGTTTATGAGTTGGCTTCCAGAGCAGCTCCTTTTGGCTGGATCTGAGGGTGCTCGGCACCCCTGAAAAGCGGCCCATTCATGTCCATGCACTGAGACTCATCCCAACAAACAACTCAGCTGTGGGACGGGGTGGGAGGAGTGGTGGCCCTGTTCAGGGTGGTGAAGAGGAAGGGTTTGCTCTGTGAAGCACAGTCTGACTGGACACGTCTGTGCATGTGACTGCAGGGAGGGGGAGTTCCTCTGTTTTGAACTTAGCTTTCTGAGAGGGACAAATCTGGGTTTGCCCAGTGATACCTGGAAGAAGGAAGGGGTGTGTGTGGGGCGAGCAAGGGGTCACCCTTCCTGATGTGGGAGAAAGGAGTTCAAGATTTCACACAGCCTCGTTTGTGAGGTGGTGAGGACACCAGCTGGAGAACTCTATTAGCCTTTGAGCGAGGGGGAGCATTGCCAGTAACCACCACCTATGTCCTCGTGCTCTGTGTCATCCTCTGAACTCATCAAAACCAACGATAGAAAGACCTGGGCGTTCTCTTTGGAAAACCTGAGGTAAAACGCTGAGTGGACCAGCTGTCTCCTTCTCTGTTGAAACTTTTCGCCTCTGCCCACACGCACACACGCTGTGGGTCAGTCTGAAAGCTTCTGCTCCAGTCACCAGAGTTAATGTTGCCCCTCTCAGAGCCAGGTACATTATACCCCAGCCATGCCTTATGGAACTGCCTGCACTACAGTGCTCACCCCAGCCGAAGGAACCATCCCGCCCACAGAACCCCCACATACCGCCCCCACCAGTTGATACACAAATGCCTCCAATCCACTGATGCCAACGGGTGCTCTGCATGTGGATCAGGGATTGGTGTTTGATGCATATAAGGCCCATGGGATTTTTAAGGTGACTAAGGCTATTTGCATGTATTTTAGACCCACTTAGGTTGCTCCCTCTGGAGCACTTACAATTTAAATAGTAATGGCAGCAATTATTTTCAGATCGTAGACTAATAAAATCTTCTAGCTTGTTGGAAGGATTCAGCCGGGTATAATATAGCTCTTATGACTTTTAAAAAAAGTTTCCAGGCCCAGTTTTCAAACATGAGTACCAAAACAGAACGCTCAAATCCCACATGCTGATGCTCCCCTCAGCCCATAGACCCCAGACACAGAATCATAGAAACGCAGGGCTGGAAGGGATTTTAAGAGGGCATCTAGTCCAGCCCCTTGCACTTAGGCAGGATTACATAGCTAGACCACCCCGACACACGTTTGTCTAACCTCTTCTTAACCATGCCTGTTTTGGGTGAATAAGTGTCAATTTAAATAACTGAATGTGGGACTTAGTTCACATAGTGACTTTGCACACAGCCCTCTGAGCAAATTGCTCTAGTAGTCTACACCAGTGATTCTCAACCAGGGGTACACGTACCCCTGGGGGTACTCAGAGGTCTTCCGGGGGTACCTCAGCTCATCTAGATATTTGCCTGGTTTTACAACAGGTGACATAAAAAGCCCTCGCGAAGTCAGTACAAACTAAAATTTCATACGACTTGTTTACACTGCTCTGTATACTATACACTGAAAAGTAAGTACAATATTTGTATTCCAATTGAGTTATTTCACAATTATATGGCAAAAAGGAGAAAGTCAGCAATTTTGTAAGCAAGTAGTTTTTAAGTGAGGTGAAACTTGGGGGTACGCAAGACAAATCAGATACTTGAAAGTGGTACAGTAGTCTGGAAAGGTTGAGAGCCCCATGTCTATACTGTACTGTAATGAATTGGCAAGTGTGTGTGTGTGTGTGTGCACCATTGCTCTCTGCTGGATGGAATGAGCACTACAGTGTGTCATAGGCCCTTTGCTATTACAAGCTTCAGGGGACTCTCCTTTAGCCAAAGTATAACCTTAGCTCTGCCCCCCTGTACCTCTGCAATGTGATACTGTTTTCGGTTACATGATCACACACTATTTTTTCACAGGACCCCTGCTTCAAGCAATGTACATGCTGGAGAATGAATGAGGCCAGGTTGTGTAGTGACTTTTCTTGGGACCTGAACATCTCACCTCATTCACCGCGGATATTGTATGGTGTGTCATGAATGAAGGTGGTATCCATAGCATCCTTTCCTCTTTCACTGCAGATGTTGTATGGTGTGTAGTGAATAAGATAGAGGCCCCCTGGTAGAGAAGAGATAGCCTTGTGATTATGGCCATAGCTAGGGACTCCCAAGATTTGGGTTCTGGTCTTGCTTGTGCCACAGATTTGCTGTGTGACCACAAGTAATTCCTTTGATCTCTCTGTAACTCTGGTCCTCATCTGTAAAATGGGGAAATAAAACTTCCCGGCTTCAGAAGAGTGCTGGGCAGATAGAGATTGGTGAGGTTCTCACACACTGCAGTGATGAATGACATAGAAAAAGACAATAAAGAAAGAAAAAAAATCTCAGTGTGGAAGTTGGATGGTGTGCAGCAAATGAGACATGGGGCCACACAATGCACACTAAGAAATAATGAACAATTGCCTGTGTTTACTGAGCAGTGTCCTTGCAGGAATAATAGCTCACGATCATATAATTAAAGACTGTAGGGTGATACATCGGAATGTAGAAGTTACGGATGCACAGGCAGTCTTGACCTTTCCAGTGCCTGACTTTTGCATGCTTCACTTTGCAACCTTTATGTTCTTTTAATGCAGTATTTTTGTATGGGTTGTGTGAGCTTCTGAGTTAAACCTCTTGCTTCTGAGCTAGGTACCTCCTGTTTAATAAAACATTAACTAATTAAGAAAAAAGATCCTGTTTGGGTGGCAGCAAGCAGAAAGGAAAGAGAGAGATGTGTGTTCAGAAAGACACCTGTTACATATGCATGTATGTCTCTCGCACCTCTTGGGGGGTTCTAATGCCTGGCTAATTGCATAAGCTCACCAGGCAAGGCCACATCCTACAGCACTGCAGCTAGACTAATGTCCTTGCACAGTACTGGCAGTATAGGCGCCATCTTTATGAGTTACCAGGGGTTGCTCAACCCCCTCCCTTTCCACCCCTGGCCCTGACCCCACTTCACCCCTTCCCCCAAGCCCCCACCCCCGCCCCTTCCTGCCCCTGGTCTGCCCCATCCCCTGAGTGCTCACTGCCCTCGCTCCTCCCCCTCCCCCCACAGCGCCTCCTGCACGCTGCTGAACAGCTGTTCCGTGGGAGGCTCTGAGAGGGAGGGGGAGGAGCTGATGGGCAGGGCCACCGGCAGGCAGGAGGCATGGGGGGAAGGGAGAGGAGCTGATCGGGGGCTGCCGGTGGGTGCTGAGTACCCACTATTTTTTTTTGTGGATGCTCCAGCCTTGAGCACCCACAGAATTGGCGCCTATGCCTGGCAGTGCTGCACATGCCAGGTAAGGAAAGGGTTAAGGAATCACGGCATGGTCCTTGCACTGGTGGATACTTTCCAGCTCCTGCTGGTTTTTTCCAACAACACTGAGAATTTTCATAGTTCACCACACCCGGACTGATCCAGAGACCCAGTTCCAAGCAGGGTACGTTGCGTATCTCTGCCGACAACGTTTCCCTGTGCAGTTCAAAACCGAAGATTGTATTTATCTAAGTAACTTATATGGCCCTCATCACCATAGTATCTGAGCAGCTGTGATGGGATGTCTATCCCCACACAAGCCCTCAGTGGGTTAATGTGGGCCAGGATGCTGCATCTGGGGTGGAACCAGGGCTTGATAGGCCTGATGGCAGATGAAGCCCACCTGGGATAGGAGTGCAAAGCCAGGAAGTGCAAGTAGGAGGCGGCTGAAGGGGTGAGGTCTGCAGTTACTTCCTAAAGGGAAAGAGAGTTGGTCAGGGACAAGGAGGAAATCCAAGAGAAGAGAAAGCTCTGAGGGTACTGTCCTGGATTAGGGAGTCTGGCAAGAGGCTCAGAGGGGTGAAGTAGCCACAGAGAGTGGAGGAATCTTTGGTAGTAAACCCAGAGATAGGCAAGGACATAGAGAAAGGGGGCAGGAAGGAGCCCAGGGAAACAACAGTCTCTCAGACTAAGCAGACCTAGGTTGCTAGTCGTAGCGTCTCAGGGCTGGAACCTGGAGTAGTGGGAGGGCCTGGGTTCCCCTACCAGCCACTGGCAAAGCTGCACTGGAGTTGAAACAGAAGACTGAAATGGCATACGGCTATTGTATGGTGGGACTTTCTTACCCTAGAAGGGGAGGACTATATAGTGATCAGGCCAGAGGGCAGAGTAATGAAGAAGGAGCGCCCTGAGTCATGAAAAGAGTGAGGGGGTCATGCCATGAATAACCCACCGAAGAGAGTGCTAGATGGTGTGGGGGAGGTGCTAATTCCCAGACCCTGTAGTGAGTGGGAACCCCTTCCCAATGCCTCACCATCTTCTTAAAGATATTTATCACCTATGAGGTAGGGCACGCTATTATGCCCATTTTACAGATGGGAAGCTGAGGCACAGAGACTAAATAACTTGCCTGAGGTCACATAGGAATTCAGTGGCAGATCAGCGAATTGAACCCAAATCGCAGGCTAGCACCCAAACCAATGGCGGACCCTACCTCTTTATACAAGCAATTAGGGTCTCCCCTAAAGCATGGTCAGTGCAGAGCTCTCAAGTCGAGGACTCACTTCCCCCAGTCAGTCCGAGGGAGCTGGAGTCAACTAACCTCCATGGCAGGCTGCAAGGCTCTGCTGGAAGGGATACCCGGGGACATTTCTAAGTAAATTCTCCCCCACCCCACCCCACCCCACCCCACCCCAGAGTAGCTTGTTCTTTGTATTTGCCAATATATTCAAAGTATTGAATGGTTGTATTATTAAATGGCATAAGATATGCTAAGGGAATCTGTTAATTCACATGTTATCTTCACTGGAAAACAAATAAAATCAACAAAAGGAAGCAACAAATTTCCAGATGGTTAGTACAATTATGAGGAAAGAGCCATTTGCAATGACAGTGCAGCCAAAGGAAGAGAGCGTGTGAGTGTTTGGGACGAAATGTTAACACGGGACATGCAAGAGCTCAGGGAACTTTGTATCCGAGTACGGTAGTGTTCTCTTGTCCAAAACGTATCCACTCTCAGTGGGGTGCTGCATTTATGTGGTGCCTGATATTGCAAATAGTACCAGGTATGGAACTTTCTAGAGTGATTAGTCCCATTAACTTCCCTGGGGATTGTTCATGGCAGTCCAGAGGTAAGAGTTTGCAGGATCAGGCTCACAGTTTGCAGAGGCTTTGGATGAAAGGAACTACAGAGAAGTTACATGTTACCATGTCTTGCTGGAGTTGACCTCTGCAGTATTTATACAGTCACGAGGATGTGAATGAAAGACAAAAAATAGTGTGAGTGCACAGGGGAAAATCCTATTAAAAAGACTCCCTTCAGGCAGAGGCGGATTATGGTTTTGTGGGGCCCTGAGCCAGAGCAAGTGGGGGGGCCCCCAAACCTCCCGGGCACTCCTGCCAGGAAAATGGGGTCGGGGCACGGGGGCTCGCCCTCCTCTGCCTGCCCGGCAGGAGCGCCTCTGGTCAGGAAGCCCATGTACACCTGGAAACTAGCCAGGTTCTTGAAATAAAGGGTTTCAAACCCAAATCTCTGGCCTGGCTGCAGGTCACATGGCTATGCTGGCTGGCACAAGGAACTGGCTCTGCCAGCCACCTGGTCTGGTGGGCTGGGCTGGATCCTGGGAGAGGTGGGCCCTATGTGACCAGCAGCCATCCCTCAGGATACCCTGGGGGCACAGCATGGCCCTGCAGGAGCACTGCCCTCTCCTCCTTTGCCTAGCACCCAGACCAGAGCACTTTAGACTCGATTCAGCCACGAGGGCTCTCGTTTCTTACAGCATCTCGGCTTAGCGCTGCTGATAACTCCGGTAAGCGGCCCCACCTGTGCCCGGAATCTCACAGCCCTGCGGAACCTGTGCTGCTCATTCCGACTTGCTGTAGCTTCTCTGAGTGGTCCCTTTAATCCTGTCCTGGCTGGGGGGGCTGGCAGGCCTCCTTCAAGCTTGCTTCTCCCTTGCTGCCTTGGGCTCAGCCCTCCGTTTGGGCCTGATTTAGCTGCGGGAGCTCCCTGTCACGTGGCTGCACTAACTTTCCCAGCAGGGTGGAGACCTGAGCCAGGCACAGGTGGGGCTGGACCCACAGCCTACTGAAAGGACCCATCAGCTTGGGACATGCTGCCTCTGCCCTTTTCTGCACTCTGACCCTGTTCACTGGCAGGAGCACCAAGCTGGCGGGCAGAGCGGGGCAAGCCCCTGCGCCCCGACCCTGCTCCCCGGAAGGAGCACTGGGTGGACGAAGCGGGTCAGGGCGTGGGAACCCCATTTTCCCAGGGTCCCACAATTGCCCAGTGCCCCTGAGCATGGGACCCGTTGGCCCAGTGGCTAATCCGCCACTGCCTTCAGGGCAGAGGATACAAATGACATCAGATCTTACACTAATTCCATCCATGTCCTGCAGTGCCATTCTGGTTACTGCACTGAAATGCAAGAAAGCAGCAAAATCATATTTGGGGTGAAGCCTGTTTAACTTCTGCCATGTCCCTTATATCGTCTGTCCACGCTGGATCTAAACTCATGCTATCATGCGATTCCGCTGACCGACATTAATTACTAGAGCCCTGCTCCCTGACAGCAATGCCAAGGGCCTTCCAAGAGACAGTCAGACACCTAACGCAGCACATGCCTTATTGTAATCTGCTTCAGCTACACTGAGAGGCTGTTTATCTGTATGAAGTTGTTGTGGGGGTAGGTTGTGTTCTCCTCCCACACGAGGGGTGGGGTCCCCTCCACTGCCATGTGCACTGCGGCAGACCAGTCCCAAAGCCAATCCCATATGTCATCACATGCTCGATCCATACAACTCCCCAGCCTTCAAACTGCCCCCTGGAGTTGAAATCCACTCACTGTTTTAGCTGCTGGTCGTGCTAGTCTCTGCCGCTGCCACGCTGCGCTGCATTGGCCCTTCGGATGCGGCCCTTCCTGACAGTGAATGGGTGAAAACAAGGGAAGGAGAAAAACAAAAGAGAAGGGGAGGGGGAGAGGAGGAGGGAGTATGTCGGGGGGGATGAAGCAGGGGGACAAGAAGGGAGAGGGTATGTCTTTAACTGAACTGTATGGCTTTCACTGGCTGCAACATTCTAACAGCTTTACAACACTCGTCGTGATCATCCACTATTGTGCTGAGGCACGTTGCACCACTGCTTGGCACCTGGGGTCATCAATTAAACAAGTGCAAAGGACTAAACAAAGTGATGGGCACCTGTGAATTGGACCCCTGACTTACATAATAAAAGCCACTGAATAACACTGAGACCCTGTACAAAGAGTCTCCTTTCCTTCTTGTAGCACAGAAGGAACTGTAAAGGGCTGGAATTGTCCCTTGTGTCCAACTCTGAGATATCTCCAGTTCCTTTGCTACTAAACTTCCTCCTTAGAATGATGTACTTGGATTGATATCACTGCAGATGGGACAGGGCCCAGGCCCAGGCCTTTACTCAGCCAAAACTTCCAGGGAACATTTGGCCTGAATCAAGACTGAGGACCTGATCCTGTAAGGTGCCGAGTGCTTGTCACTTTCACTGAAGCAAACAGGAATTCAAGCTGCTCAGAACCTGACAGGGAGTGCCCGGAGCCTCTCAGAATTAGGGTCCTAAAGGTTCACAGGATGAAGCACCCACTATATAATGGATGGTTATGTGCCAGCACTCCTACTGGAGAGGCTATTCTTGTAGCTAATTTTGCAGTGTAATACAGCAGTAACATAGATGCTATGCTATTCTCTGCTACACATGCCCCTCAGCGTTAGGGACCACTGAGAGCAGCAATATAAAAGTGGACTCATGAGAGCAACTTGTTCCACTTTTATTTAGTTTACAGGTATCCTAAGCCAGAGGAGCGACATGACAGACAGAAAAGTGTTTGGCCTCACAGTGATTCAGTAATCTGCCTTTCTGTGACGACTTCCACCTCTATAGTGCTCTTCACAAACAGCAATTAAACCTCAAAATACCCCCGTGAGGTAGGGAGGAATTATACCCATTTCAGACAGGGAAGCTGAGTTTACGGCCCTCATTTGCAGTGGTGCAAAGTTATTAAGCAGCTTGTGGTGACACCCTGAGTTTCATTTACAGTACTTCCTCCCCCCCAGTCATTTCAGTCACATTTTGGAAGTACAGGAGCCTATCCTGCAAGATTATGACTGGCCTCGAATTCCATCCCCACCGGTGGGCGTGACAGATGCTCCACCCCTCAGAGAATTGGGCCCAAAGAAGAGAAGAAGAAAAAAATATTATAAAAGAATAAAGGAGAAAACACTGAAAGAAGACTTCGGCTGTATTAAAGCAGAAGGGAAACCAGAGGAGACTCTCACTGGGCAAATAATGTTGAACGGCCGTGGCAGATACTGTGAAATCAGTGAGTAAGTCCTCTCCGGTGAAATGGACTTCAAGGGCAACAATTAAAGGGACATCCCTGAGCTATGCATGTAGTTGGAGAGCACTGCTCTGCACATGTGACCATTTTCATAGGCGGTGCTTAAGAACACAACACGGACTGCTGCCAAATTAAAGCAAAGAAGTAAGTGGGTTTGGGAGGCATGGCCACCTAGTTCCACTCACGTGCACCTTTTCACCGTAGCTAGTGGTGCAAATTTGAGCTGCTACCTGTAGCTGCAAGATCATCCCGTTCAGGCAATTGCTGTCTGAATGGCTGAAAAGCCTCTAAATTGCTTTGCTCTATTCCGAACAAATCAAATGCCTGAGGAATGAAAACTGGGTGGGAAAGAGGTTGAGAAAATGATTTCACTGCTGTTTAAATTTCCTGTTCATTAAAATGTTACAGAGTTAGAAAAGGCCGCTGCACAAACTCTCCCAGCCAGCAGTGTCACAGGACGGGTATCAAAAAAGATACAGAGCAAATGAAGTCATCAGCAATGGAAAAACACACCAATCCAGCCCAATACAGAACAATGCAAATCCCACCTCAAACATGAGGCTGCAAGAGACATTTTCCCTGTGTCTATCCCTTACCACGTGCTTATTCAATCACAAATAACGTAGGGAGAGAGAAACCCAAATGCAATTTATATCTCAGTCCAAGTAAATATGAAGAAGCTGTTGAATCTGACTATAAAAGCCAATGATCTCATATTGGAAAAAACTAGGAGTGGAGTTACTACCCTGCTGCTATGAGATACTGGCAAAGTATTTCCGAACTATAGGTACTGCATGTTGTCACTAATTACTGCAGAAAAGGAAAGGGGGGTTGGAGTAAGAAAATATAAACATTTCTTCCCTGTGAATTCCTTTGACGATCTGATGATGTGATGCCCACACAAATGATTCTCCCCTCCTCCCCCAATTCAGCGTGGCATGCACAGAAAAAAAGAACTATTTTCAGTTGTGCTCGGTACTTGAGTTACCCTCCCCAAAAAAGATTTCTATTTCTATATATGTGCAATTTTGTGCATCATTGCCCAAGTATACGGTGAAGCATGCTTTCTCTGCAAGCCTAGCCCTAAATGGTCCGTTTCTTAAGCACAGCTGTTTGCAAATACTGTCTTTCTCCCTCTTTCATCTCCAGCTGGTTTAGAGTAGGAGTTCACAGAGGGTGGCTGGGAGAGGAGGAGGATTATGAAATGGAGGGGAAGAGAGAAAGAATTCAGGCCACGCAGGAGTCAGGAGAAACATGCTCTCTTCCTATGCAAATATCTTAATTACAGAGGATGAGGAAGATATTTGTATGTTAATTTTCATAGCTAGGTTTTCAATTTGTCTTTGAGAAAGGCCTTTTGCACCAGGGGGAAACCTTCAAATCTATCCACTTAAAAAGCCACTGCCGTGAGCAACACATTAAAAAAAAAAAAATCAAGCCGAGCTCCTATTAAACTCTCATAAGTTCTCCACCTCCCCTTCCCTTGCTGATCCCCAAGGTGTTTGTGGCTAAAAGACAGCTTGCGACCCTTCTCTTCTGCTGCCCCTTCCTGCTTGTGATCTCACGGGCGCTGCGATGGCGATGAATGGTGATGTCACAACATTGCGGGTAGGGTGCAAGCAGGAGGAGGCAGTTGATCCGCTGGGGAGCAGTGGAGAGTATAGACCCAGCACTGGAAGAGAGGAGGGACTTGCTGCATCTAATTCTTAACTCATCTCCCTGAATGTGGCAAAGGCTTTTCTAAAACATCATGTGAATGTTTGTCATTGTTTCTGGTGCCACCTGGGACAATGAGTGGAAGTGTCCAAAAAAAAACTGGGAAACACATTTCTCATCCTTCTTGTCTGTCTGGCTTCATCTGGAATATCCTAGGGTCAGCTTCATACCCTTTCCTTTGCATGGCTCTGGTGGCACTAAGGGACCAGACACTGGTGAGAACGCCCTATCGGCGGCTTCCCCATGGCATACATCTGGCTCCTGAAGTATTCTCTGTGCAGCCCTTGGCATACGGGAGGTGGGGAATGGTGTGGCTAGAGCACACTGCTCCAGCAATCTCCAGCTGATGGATATCCACTGGGGGCCACAGTTGGCCAGCATAGACTAGAGCAGGCTCTAGGCTTCTTTAATCTATGATGGGGCTGGAGGAGAACCAGCTCTACGATCAGGGAGCCATCAACAGCTTTCTTTGCCCCTGCAGCTGTTTGCTTCACCCAGCAGAAACTGGCTACAGCAGAGAATCCAGCCCTTAGGGTCTAGGCATAACTGGAATTTGAGTGGAAGGAAGCAGAAGGACCCTGAAATCTCACCAGAAAACCTGCTGCCTCACGATTAGCAATACAGTTGTGCAGGTAAGAAGCATGGACTATTTGGATGAGCATCTGCATTTCTTTGTGTTGAATAAAATGGAACCTCCATTTTATTCAACACAATGTAGGTTGTGTTGGTTATTGGTGTTGGTTTGCCTCTCACTCATATGGGTTCAGCATTTGATTGATTACCCACAGCTGATTGGAATTTCTCCAGACCATACTGGTGTAGAGATCAGGCTGGAAATCTCATGAGAACAGAGCCTCTTGGGAGACTTCCTGTATTTGCTGGTTTTGGGTCACTTCATGCTGAGCGAATTGGCTTTTACACAATGGCCTGATGCTTTCATGTATCCTGCAAACAGGAGATGCAAGGGCAGGGTACAAGTTAAAGGAAGAGCTAACTGAACTGTTTCTGACTTCACCAAATGTCTGAAGTTGAGCTTCACTGCTGGAAGAAGGCTCAAGGCCTCAGTTCAAGCTCTTGATGAAGATTTGGAGGGGGGGGGAGGGCGTATTGAGCTCTGGTTGAAAGCTCATGTGTTGGTTATCAATGAGTGAAACTATGCGGGTTTGGCTACCTCTGGGAGTCCACTTAGCTCTGGGGAAGATGCAGGGATGTGGTGACCTCAGGCACAAGGTCCTGGATTTAGTTTGAGCTCTGGATTAAGTTTTGGGGTTCCGTTTAAGCCGTGGGGGAAGGTTCAGGTTGATTCTCATTTTACCTGAACCCGTTTAAGAGCATCATGCACTAGTGACGATGCTACGACTGAGTCTGGTGGCACAAATCCTGAGCTGGTGGTGATACTAGGGCAGAGGTCAAACCTCCTAGCATGGCTGGCAGGCTGGCGTTTTCACTAGTTGATTACAGACTATTCTTCACAGTCCCCTTTTGTGTCTGTGCTTCAAAGAAGACGTCACTAGACTGGTGAGAGGTCTTAGCCGGCCACATCCCTCTCATTATAGAAATTAAATGAACAGTATATACATCAAAACAGCAATCCAGCCATGTGATGGGCAGGTGGGGGGGGGGGGGTAGGAGGGAGGGCTGAGGGTGTGTGGGGGAATTAGGGTAATTACCGTTCCTGAGAAAATGCCATGAATTACAACACAACCTAATTACCCCGATTAATTCTTCTGCTTTGTGAAGGGCTCTTAACTATCAAAGAGAGAGAGAGAGGAAAAAAGAACCTTTACAATTTGTTGGGTTTTTTCCCATCGGTGTAAAAGTCAGGGGTGGAG